TGTAAAGCTTAATAAATTACCAATAAGTAATTTAGCGAATTCATACAAGATTGAGATTTTATATTGCACAGGGAAGTAGTACAATAGCGATTTAAGTGTTTTTCTGACGATTTTCCCCATTTGTTACTACTTTATTTTGTGCGTCAATAAAATGTACAGTAGATTAACTTAAATGAGAGAGAGAGAGAGAGAGAGAGAGTCTTTGCCGTTCTAGGCCCTGTATTACTAGCCGCCCTTGTCTCAACTTCGGTTATTTAGGTACTACATATGAATTTACTTTTTTTCCGAAATATATTATTGATAAAATAACACCGATCTCTATATTGCTTCCGGCTAACATTTGTCGTTTTATCCCTTGTCGGTTAACAACAGACAATGCAGACCAAGAGCTCAAGACCAAAAAACTCATCATACTTCAGATATATTCGGCCGCCCGCAATCACGGAAATGACGTTTTGAACATTTTTCATATGATGTGACCTTCAGAATAGACTGCCTGTATATATTTAATCTATTTATAATAGCTCTGATCGAATACTTTTCGTGTAAAATCCTGTAAAAATGTCAAAAAGCAAAATTACGTGAACAAAAACAGCATTTTTCCTGAAAAACGTCAACCAGTGATCGCTTGACACTTTTCATGATTTTACCAGAAGAAAAAGTTCGGGTAAAATCTTGCATCTTCATTCTCTATACAACTCTCCAAAAATCGCTATCATTTACAGGATTTTGGAGGAATTTGGAGTACGGGATCATTTTTCCTGTAACTTCCTGCAAGTGTAAAACCCTGTAAGTTCATGGTGCACTGGATCAGAGCTAATAAGTGTTTGCTCAAGTAGAGGTTAGTATGTTAATTGACCACCGAAGGCGCAGGTTAAAATTCCCCTATATACCAACCTAAGATAGTACATAAACATTTCTGCTCTTTAAAGCCCAAAATATATCCATTAGTGGTGGAAAACTATCGATAGTGTATATATTCGATAGTTTCGATAGTGATAGTGTAAAATATTTGATAGTATCAATACTATCGCAAGCTTGTTTTCACTTTGTCAAATTCAATGGCTTTTCTCGTCAAATAAGTGAAAACACATTGCCAAATGAAACTTTAAAACGGGTTCTCGCTTGACTTAGATTATAATAGATCTTCAGTCGTGTGCATGTCTAGCTAAATGGGCTACCTTTCCGGTTTGGCTCATAATATAATCGGTAAAGGTATAGGAAAACGAGATAAAGTTGTACCAGAATATGCCCATATAGAAATACCATAAAGATTATTTGTATAAACAAAAAGTTCACAACATAGAACTTGTTTAAAAAAAAGAGATCGTGTATTTCAATAACACATTTTATAACAAAAAAAATGTTATATGTATTTTTTATAGTCAAATTCGAATAGTGTGAACAAAATATACAGCTATCGATAGTGCTAACAAATATTCGATAGTGGCGGCAATATGAAACCATCGATACTATCGATAGCCCCATCGATGGTTCTCCATCACTAATATCCATATTGCTTTACATATAAATTCCAAAGTACATATAGGCATATGGGCATTTCCTGTAGAAGGTCTACCGCGAAAAAACAATAAAAGTCATATATCTAACTTAATCATAGGCAAATTTGGCTGCTTTTTATAAAAGTTCGGTTCATGAAATGTCTCAAAGTAGCATTTTTGGCGTAATGACAACGTTGCGACCAAAATTGTATGAGCCACCTATCGCAACTGCGGATTGCAAATGCAAAATCTTTTCAAAATGCCGCGCATGCGTGAAAAAAAAGTTTTTACATTTATATTTCGAAGCGGCCTTAACTGGTACATATACTTTTCCTTGAAGTGTTCTAGGACAATAAAAAAAGTCTAGAAAAACCCTTTAAAATTTTGACCTTTTCATTTTTTTTTTTTACATTTTGTCATACGCCAGATTGGAAATGACCATATTGTACCCTAAATAAAAAATAGTCACAGCTCAAAAACATCAAATGCTCAGGAAACTCAAAAAACTGTACAATCGATGCACGCGACACAAGCAAAACAAAAACCGTCTTAGTAGTGTTTTTCCAGTTAAAGAAGATAATAATGAGAAGAAATTTTAGCGGACGATAGAAATAGGGTCCGTGAACTCTTTTATGGGAAAAAATCGATTTTGAAAAATTTCCAGTGGTGGCTGTTCTTGATTTAGCGTGCGCTATGTACTTTACCTTAAGCACATCCAAATGAATTTAATAAAGACAATTATTTCTAATATAATGTACATACAATATACTATAAATCGCATCGACTTTGTAGTGCACGTTTAAGATTCGATACGATACAAGGGTTCTGGTACTCGATACCAAAAAATATCGTTTTAAAACTATCGAGTATAAAGTATCGGTATCGAATGACAAAAGTTTCGATATGGTATCGCATTGTATCGAAATTCGTGACCATAAGAGTAAACCAACATACTCCTTGTTAGTCGGTGTAACTTCAGCGGCACTGATTCTTATTTTCTTCGTTGTATTAAAAATCAAGCTTAGTAATTATTAGTGGTATTCGCGCTTCTGTGTATTCGCTGTATCCTGTGTAAGTGTAACTGGACGAGCATGTGGTTGTTGTTGCATGTGTATTTGATGTACCGCTAGCAACAGCAAATCACGCGCTCATGCAGTTACGAATACACAACATACAACGAATACACAGAGCGAATTTGCTCGCAAAATAACACAGGCCTGTGATGGTATTCCCCTTAAAAACCAATTGACAATTTGGGTAGTTTTTATATAGCAAAAAAAAAAAACAAAGAATTCCACGACGTAAATTTTCGGAGAAAATTACTTTTTAATTTTTCATGGGAACTTCGAAATTACATATGAGCCAGTCGGACGGATTTCGTAAAAAAAATTATCTCATGCCTCCGACTTGCTTCAAATTTTTTATGGGTTCTATATATGAAATAAGCTAACACGTATTCGCGGATATTTTTGTTCTTCGGAGATTTGATCTGTCAGAGTTTGGATTTTTTCATCTTAACATCGTTTTAAAGCTAAAGAAATGGGCTTAACATTTCTATATATAATATGGTCATGATTGTCCTAAAGCTAACTTAGCTATTAACAGTTGAACTTTTTGAAGTTTATTTGCATAGTGAAGACCAGTAAATTAGGGGTTTAAAATTACACCATCGTAATCCTTGTTTAATTCTCTATAAAAAACATTCTTCAAAAAATGGGCGTTTTTCAAGAACTATTTAAATTTTTGTTTATGATGAGATGCTTTATTTTGTGAAAGTCAAAAATTATTCTACCGAAATCCACAATAAAATCTAAATTTTTGAACTTTGGTTTTAAAATTGCTACGCCCATTTCTAGATGACTCTTTTATTGAATGAGAAATTTGTGGAACAAATGGGTTTCGAGAAGGGATATTCTGCCGATATTCGCAATAAAATGATTTTATTAAAATATGATTTATGTTTGACATAATATCAATGATTCTGTTAATGCAAATTAATAAGAAATCTTTAACAACTGCAGTGCGTAATAACCAACATTGTATGTATATGTAAATGGCTCACTTCATCGAAAAATCAGTAACTTAAATAGAATTCTAGCAACACTATGATTTGTATGAAGATGATATTGATATTGATGTCATTAAGATAGATTAAGCGGTATCAAAGGAACGAGTGGATATCGATACCAAGATTCTATCAGTGGTATCGCAACATCCCTATTAATAGTTTTACCGCGCATTAATAGAGGTAATTTCGATATTGCAAAAATTTTTCTGAGAAGCTGTTTTTCATGGCAGAAATACACTTGGAGGTTTGCCATTGCCTGCCGAGGGGCGACCGCTATTAAGAAAAAACCCTTTTTCTATATTTTTTTGCGATGTTGCTTTGACCAGTGCTTGAAGTCAGGCCCTGCGCACTGTAGCTAACCACTACACCACAGCGGCCGCTGAATAATACTGTTGGGTTTTTAAATACAAAATTCAATTCTAAATTAGTTAATTTTTGGATTTTCATGCAAATTGCTAAAAATTTCAAAATATAAATGTCCTCAATAAAAAAATCTTAACCCATCGTGTCAAACATGTATTTTAATTTAACATACCTATATATCTATTTAAAAAAATAACATAATTATTTAAAGGGCGAAAAAGTTAAATTTCACAGGCCTGTATAATCGTTATTTTTTTTTTAGTTTTAGTTATTGATTAGAAAATATAACTTAATTTTTAGATGTTTTCTTGTCATACAAATGCAGTAATGGTAATGCAGATGGTAATGGTAATCGTTATTGTAATTGTGGTAGGTAACAGTCGCCGTTTTCGTTTTCTCCTGAATCTTTGTTGTGTTATTCGTACTCGTGATCCTTGTTCGTGTTCGCTTTCGTTCGTATTCACATCTATTCTCCTCTTCGGCTTCTTAATCGTCCTGGTTTTTGTCTTAGTATTACTTAACATTAAGAATGTCACATATTTTTTTATGATAATTATTTATTTGACTCCTTAAAAAAACAACGGAAGCTAATTTTGCTTTCTAAGCCTCAAAACTCAAGAAACATCGATTATTTTCCGACAAATAAATATAACTTAGTAGATAAAAATCATTAGAAAGCAATTTTTTTTAATAAAAGTTTTAACCGTTACGATCCCTGGTTAAAATTGCTTGTGGATATAAGATTTTCAAAATATGTATTTCTTTACTTCTTATTTTCTTATGATGCGAGTATCACTTTAAAAATCACTTAAATATTTAAGGAACTGAATATTAAAAAACATTAATTTCACTATTTACTGCATTGAAAAAATTGCATTTCTTAATAAAAAAATATGTATGCCTTTTTCAAAAATCAAATGAATACAAATATTTTACTAAATCTTTTGTTTCTTTAAAATTTTTCGGGCACGACCAATTTTCTTAATTTCAGTGATAAACTGCATCATTTCGACACACTTCCACTCTTGCGCATCGATTTTTCATCTTTGCTTTTAGCCAAATTTTCACTATACTCGAAAGTATAGCTGCCATTCATATTCAGATCAGTTCAGTCCAGTCCATCGTGTTATTTAGCCAGCGCAGAAAATTACGTGTCCGTCATACAAAAGTAAGCATTTTCTTCAGCCACATTTTACATATTTTCCATGAGTTTTGCAATTTATAAATATTTGAAATCAAAAATTTATTATTTGTGCTACAGTTTTGCTATAAATTTAAATGAAACAAATCATTTTTAGCTGGTGAAATGTGAAATTTTTTAATTTCCAACAAATACAATGGGTGAAAAATTGCAAGTGCCAAATGGTGAAAAATCGAATTTTCCTTTGCCTTGTGCCAAATTTAAGAGAGCACAAGAGCGAAGCTATTGCAAAGCGGAAGAGAAAGCGAGCGGTAGTGGTGCACACATTTTCGTTGTTAACACATTTGTATACATGTGAGAGGCCGAGTGGCAATCAAAATACTTTGGCCCATGGTGCTTTGGCCTAATAATAATGAAATTAAAAAAAAATGCGAATGTTGAATTAAACAAGTACTTTTCATATGTACCTTTGTTTGATTTCAAGATTAGTGCATTAATTAGTGTCGAAAGTGCTTTTAGTTTTAGAAATGTGTGCTTTTCGTTGCTACAAAAACAACACAATACAAACTGTACTTGAATATGGCGAAAAATCAATAATTCCGATTATTCAATGAGTTTATTACATATGTATTTAGAGTAAATTAGCAACAATTTGCAATAAAAAAATGTATAAATTTCTTTTGCAGAAAATAGATAAAAATGTCCACACTGAAGTGCTACCAAGATGAGGAGTGCGAGTCGGAATATGGTCGCGTTTATGCCGTTTCCGGTCCCGGTGAGTAATGATTAAATAAAGCAAGCAAAAAAGTGCTAGTGAAGTGAATGTCAATAAAATGCAAATAGTTTTTAAATTATCAATTTATTATTTTAAAATTAAATTAATAACTAAGAAGGATTTAAAAATATATGTATATACATAAATATATACATATCTATACATATAACATGCCGTTATCTGTATCTACATTATAGATATTAAAGAAAAATGAATATGGGTGCCTTTATTAGAGCAAAAGAAGCCAAATCAACAATTTTTAGAATTTGTGTCTGTCTGTCTGTATATTTGTACGCGCATCACTCGAAAACTAATGCATGGAGTTAAATGCAGTTTTCACCGATGTATTGCTAGAGGTCTAACTTAAAATATAAAAAGAAAAAAATAGAGAGTTGCCACCTGTTTGAAAATTGCAGTTTAAGTAAATTGATAAGATAAAGTAAACATTGCAATACGGCTGACAAAAGAAAGAGGTTTAAGGAGGCTTACGGCGAAAATATTTTTGTTGAAGGTTGCCACCTGTTTGAAAATTGTAACTTATTTCAATTGATAAGATAACTTGAATATTGCAATATGGGTATAAAACTGAAGAGGTTTAGGAAAGTTTACTGCAGAAAATATTTGTGTGGGTTGCCACCTGTTTGGAAAATTTTATTCAATTAAATTGATAAAATAAATGAAATATTTTAGGAAGACCGGGCATTTGCTAGTTAATACAATTTTTTTTCAATCTTTAAGTGGTTTAATTCTTAATGAATATCTTTTTCGACACATATCTTTGGTTTATAAATATATTTCATATATTTTCTAGTTGTTACTGCGGAACGAATGGCTGGCTCTGCTATGTACGAATTGGTGCGTGTAGGTTATTACGAATTGGTCGGTGAGATCATTCGTCTAGAAGGTGACATGGCAACCATTCAAGTGTACGAAGAAACTTCCGGTGTAACTGTCGGTGATCCAGTATTACGTACAGGCAAACCGTTATCTGTGGAATTGGGTCCTGGTATTTTGGGTAGCATTTTCGATGGTATTCAACGTCCACTAAAGGACATTGGCGAAGCCAGTGGTTCCATATATATACCAAAAGGTGTAAATATTCCTTCGCTTTCACGCACTGAGGCTTGGGGATTCAATCCGACAAATGTGCGCGTCGGTTCGCATATAACCGGTGGCGATCTATATGGCATTGTTCACGAGAATACGTTGGTAAAACATCGTTTAATTGTGGGTCCACGTCGCAAGGGTACAGTGCGTTATATCGCACCCGCGGGCAATTACACAGTGGAGGATGTGATTTTGGAAACCGAGTTCGATGGTGAAATTACAAAACACACAATGTTGCAGGTGTGGCCTGTGCGTCAACCACGTCCAGTTACTGAAAAACTGCCTGCAAATCATCCCTTGTTCACGGGCCAACGTGTATTAGATTCACTATTCCCTTGTGTACAAGGTGGCACTACAGCTATACCGGGCGCGTTCGGTTGTGGCAAAACTGTAATCTCACAGGTATGATTACTATTTTGAGTATTGTTAAAAAAATTGCTGATTAATTTGCTTGCAGGCGCTGTCGAAATATTCCAACTCGGACGTCATCATTTACGTCGGTTGCGGTGAGCGTGGTAACGAGATGTCTGAGGTATTACGTGATTTCCCCGAACTGACTTGTGAGATAGATGGCGTGGTCGAGTCTATTATGAAACGTACCGCCTTGGTAGCCAACACCTCCAACATGCCGGTAGCTGCGCGTGAAGCCTCCATCTACACCGGTATCACACTCTCTGAGTATTTCCGTGACATGGGTTACAATGTTGCCATGATGGCTGACTCGACATCACGTTGGGCTGAGGCGTTGCGTGAAATTTCCGGACGTTTGGCTGAAATGCCTGCCGATTCTGGCTACCCAGCCTACTTGGGTGCACGTCTGGCCTCCTTCTACGAGCGTGCAGGTCGCGTTAAGTGTTTGGGTAATCCGGAACGCGAAGGCTCGGTGTCTATTGTCGGTGCTGTATCCCCACCTGGTGGTGATTTCTCTGATCCCGTTACTTCTGCTACACTCGGTATTGTGCAAGTGTTTTGGGGCCTAGACAAAAAACTGGCGCAGCGTAAACATTTCCCTTCGATTAACTGGTTGATTTCATATTCGAAGTACATGCGTGCGTTAGATGAATATTATGATAAGAATTTCCCAGAATTTGTACCACTTCGTACAAAGGTTAAAGAGATTTTGCAAGAGGAAGAAGATTTATCGGAAATCGTGCAGCTGGTCGGCAAAGCATCGTTGGCGGAAACAGATAAAATTACACTGGAAGTCGCAAAACTTGTGAAGGATGACTTTTTACAACAGAACTCCTACTCGCCTTATGATCGTGTATGTCCATTTTACAAAACTGTGGGCATGTTAAGGAATATGTTGGCCTTCTACGAGCTAGCTCGCCATGCTGTAGAATCCACTGCCCAGTCAGATAATAAGATCACATGGAATAGTATACGTGATGCGATGGGCAATATCATATACCAGCTATCGTCAATGAAATTCAAGGTTGGTATAAAAAAATGTTTAAAATTTTATTGTGAAACAAAAATGAATTTTTAAAAAACCTAGGCTGTGCATTTATCAGGATAATCAAAAAAAACCTGGGCGGCCAAATTTTTTTCTCCAAATTTTGTATATTCGACGGTTTTTTGCCTATACATATTTGCTTTGTATGCTATTTTCAACAGATGATACAAAAAACGATACATTTTCAAAACTTGGAGAAAAAAAATTTGGATTTTTGGATCATGAAAACTTTTTGTCTCGAGAACACGAATTGATCTAGTGAATCTGAGTATGAGGCATTGTTCGTATGGCGAACAGCTATGCGCACTCCAGTTTTTTTTGTGTTCCTTTTTTTGTGTTCTTTAATTAATTTAATTTTTATCGCTTTCATGCACTCTTTCAGGATCCCGTTAAAGATGGTGAGGCGAAAATCAAAGCAGACTATGAACAACTTCACGAAGATATGCAGCAGGCCTTTAGAAATATGGAAGACTAAATCTAAACAATCTGATGGCAAGTTTAAACACACAAATACATACAACCAAAGCCAAGTAATATAATGAAAATGAATATCAGTTTAAACAAACCATCAATATATTTAATTTATTCATTTATCATATAACTGATATATTTGAAACTAGTCATTTCAACTAGTCATTTACGTATTACCGTAATATTTATGAAAATAAAGTTAGGATCAGTTTAACGAAAAAAAATATACAAAAATAGTATTCATCCTTAATTTACCTCTTTATGTCCTATAAGCAAATGTTAATACATATAACTTAAAAATCACAATGGAATGAATGGTGAAATTGGAAACAAATCACCTATGAAAGACGAACAATAACTAGTGGCTAATGAATAACAAATTTAGAGGCAAACGAACCAAAGATACTTCAACTATAGATATACAACGTACATATGTGTATTCATATGAAAATTAAATATACATTCGTAAGTGCGTAAAACAAAGGTTAAATACTTAATGAAAATACATAAGTAAATACAGACTTGTTATATTTCAAAGTGTTTGGCTATAACTATTAACTATATAATACCTATATGTATGGTGTTTCTACAATATGCGTTCAATAAATTTATGATTTTCATACTGTTACGATTCGAGTTCATAAATTAAAGAGAAAGAAAAAGTTCATTGCAATTTTTGTTATTTGTAAATAATTATAAAGGCTTACTGGTCTTATAAATCGCCATTTTATATGTATTTTAAAGTGCAATCAATGTGTTGTCCTCTCCGGTTAACAGTTTTAGGTTATTTATTTATTGTAAAATAAATTATTGAAAAAAAATATCTATATGTATTATTCACGTTATTAAATAAAAATATAACTAAACATATTTAATTCTTCATTTGATTTTTATTTTTTTTTTAAGGGAGGAATGGAAGCCTTGCGTAGATTCCGTGTTAGAAAAGAATATCATCATTTAAACGCTCTATTGCCCTCAGGACCTTAAAAAATGTTAAACCAAATCTTTAGAGATAAGGGTGTGTTTTGATTAACCAAAAACTAAAATATTTGAGTAATTTTCTTTATGATTAATCAACGTTATGAGTAAAATGAGTAATCAAGTTTTCAAAGTACTCTTTACATATGAAGAAGTAGAAGTGACTTGATATCAGGGCTACATAACTATATAAACAAAAAAATTTCGTTTCGTTATTTATTAAAATATAACTTATCAAAAAATTTCATTAGCTTATTATCAATAAACAAAATATGAAAAGAAAAATTCAGTTACTCGAACTGAAAGTCGTTTCGTTGATTATCAAAAAGGAAATATCAATAGTTATTTTGTTTCATTATTTAAGAAGAAAATTTTAAGCAAAATTTATGTGGGAGTTCGTAGCATTATGCGATTGCTTTTTATTTAATAATTAACAAATAGTTAACAAAACGCTTTTAATAAATTATGCGAAAACTAATTGAGCCGTAACATTAATATCGCTTCAGTGATATCATCACTTAAACCTGGGGGTCTAACCTGTAATGCGATGCGAAAGAGAAATGCGATGCGAAAGGCAATCGTCGCAGCATATTACTTACGGCGTATTTACCTTTCGCATCGCATTACTCTTTCGTATCGCATTACAGAGTGGCCCCCTGGCCTACTAAATATAACCATTAATTATGTATTTTAAAGTGGAAAACGCTCGCTATACGCTAACTTGAGAAGCGGGAGTTGCATGAATAATTTTATATAGCTGGTACAAGGTACTGTTAGTAAATTTTTTGCTCCCAATAGTCTGCTAAGTTGGCTTTCAAATCGCGAATTTCATTGAATGATTCTATGATAGAAAATGCTTCTGTGGTATTCTCGCTTCTTGGTTCGTATTGGGAGACTTGGTTTAGTAGTGTACCAAGCAAATTGTCACTGTCTTCATGTACTTCACTACTTGAATTAGCAGCAGGGGCTCTATTCTGTAAATGTGAGTTTTCAAGTGTACACTGAAAATTGTGTGCACTCTTCATTTTGCGATTCAGGAAGGGTGAGAATGAGTTTTACCTGTCGAAATTGTGTACACTTCCTCATTTTGCGATTCAGCATGTGTGAGAATGAGTTTTAACTGTCAAAATTGTGTACACTTCTCTTCCGAAAAACTCACTGAATTTTAGTCGGTGAGTTTTTGGTTGTGAGTTTTGCACTCGGTGTACACTACATTTTCTCACAGTTAGACTGCGTTTATACACGAAAACTCTTGTCGCCTCGATTTTTCACATTCCCTTTTGGTGTTGCTCGTTTCATTTACACACGGCGATTTGTGTGTATGCAATTGTTGTTGTCAGCTGTGAACACCGGTTCAATTTACACAGACGAACGAGAGCACAAAGCGTGTTGCCCGAGCACGAGCAACTCGGTGCCCCTCTCCTTTCCTCGTCGCGCTCTCTCCTACAAACGCCGAGTTGCGGCAACAAAAATCGCTGTGTGTAAATGAGCACTTACAGAATAGAGCCCCAGGCTCCTGCGTCTGCAAAAAGATATCAGAACATTTGCAGTTGTTTGTATCCTTATATTTTAAATCATAGAGATCAAACATATACACATCCATTGTGCTCACTTTCATGCATTTTAAAGTAGAGAGCCTTCAAATACTGCAACTGATTTTAAAGGTGCGAATTCTGGACTCATTCGCGGATCAAGATAGATTGCTGCCGCCACGGTTGGGTTTTGGAGCAAGTTATCTTTCCTCTGGTTTAAGGACTACAACAAAAGTTTGGAAATGTGATGTTTGTCCGCTTCTTTCTTTACAACAAGAATCATTTCCAAATAGGTTTTAATGAAGTTTTCAAATAGCAAATTTTTTTCTTATAATTTTACGGTAGTATTTTTAATTACACTTAAGCTGTTTAAAAATTCATCTACAAATGACCAATATTGACTGGCTTCTTTTATATTTTCTAAAATGAATGTGTCTAAGTTTCTCAACCGTTTAAGTAACTCATACGAGTAAGACCAACGAGTTGGACAATCGGCTATTCGGCATTGCTGGCGTCCGCAGCTTCTTACTACCTTGCGGCATTTTCTAAAACAGTTTTTAATTTCCTCATTTTTAAAAACATCGTTTACGCTTACCCAAGGCGTATTTAACAGGTGATAGCAACACTCTTTTTATTTTTCTTCGCCTCACGGCTTCATATATCAAATGGCTGCTGTTGATTGGATGGAGCTTATTGTTTTTTGTTCTCTTTCACATCCTTCGTATGAAATTTTTGACAGTCCTCGCCGCAAAAGCAAAAACAAAATACATGTACATTTTGTTATTGGCGTACCGATACCACCTTATTTAGCCTGTTCCCGTACTTCACGATTTGCAGGATTTGCAGGCTTTACAGGAACAGCTGTTTTCGCCTTTAATAAACCTTATGTGAACGTGGCGTACGGGAACGACCTTGGACTAAATCCTGCAAAACCTGCAAATCGCAGACGTTCTGGAATGCACTAATTGAATACGCCTTGCGCTTACCTGTATGGTATGCGCCGCACATCTTATAACTACAATTGACTCTAAAAATAAAATTATGTGATGTTCACAATACTATTATTATAAAAAATTACAGTTTAAGAAAATTATTTTATTTACATATATGTATATATTTCACATTATTTTAGTCTATTTATGTATTCTATTTTATTTGGTTTTATTTTATTTTACTTAATTTTTTTTTATTTTACTGTATTTTTACTATTAATTAATTAATTTGTTTATTTTTATGTTTTATTTTTTAATTAATTGTAATTTATTTTTTTTTATATTTACATATTTTTATATTATTATTGTTTTGTTTTATATTATTATATATTTTATTATTATTATTATTTATTTTTTTTTAATTATCTATATTTCGTTTTAATATTTTGTTTTTGCTTTTTTATTTTATTTTTTAAGTTAATTTGATTTTATTTTTCTTTCTTTTTTATTGTACTGTAAACACTAGTTTTATTGCTACTAATATCATTTAATTGCTTACGAAAATTTTGCGAAACACAAGTGTCGAATTCTAGATCTTCAAAAATGGTAGCGAAATTTTCAAAAAAGGTATCGTCGACATCTTCCGATGTATTTGGTAAAGGCACTTTTACTTCCTTACTTTCCTGTTGCAGGAGGTTTCCGTAGCTTACCAAGTTGCTGCCGTTATCACTTGTGATACTGTACACTTGACTAATTGTGATATCATATCTATTGAAATTATTAAGTTATAGTAATAAGTAAATAAGTTTTGACTGCTGAATTTTCAACAAAAGTTAGATAATTTTAAAAGTTAATTAATTTTGAAATTAATAAACGCTAATGCTACAAAAAACGCTCCGCTATCTTTAATATCAAGTAATTATTGGCACATACCTTCCTAGACTTTTCAAAATGGAAATTTTCCTCCATTTAATAAATTTGCGCATTTAAGCATACTACGTTACGAAACAGCCCCTGGCACTGGCAATTTTTATAGATATTATGCGATTTTTTAGTGTTGCATGTTTTTGCATTAAAATCTTCCCTATATTATTACGAGTAATTTTGTTCTATCTAAACTGTCGATATATTGGCGTAAATAACTTTTGAAAAGTGTTGGTATTAAAATACGCACAAATATCTTTCACGCCGTTTTTACTTAGCTCAAGCTCAATTTTAATGCTAGTTCCTGGAGCCTTTCAAAGGCTTCCTTATGTCTTCTGATCAAATGGCTTTTGAAATTTCCCAAGTGATCACTTGGTGATTTCGCTTGGCAAAATTTGCACACAAATAACCCCTCTCCAACCAAAAGCCCGATCGCACTAATTCGCCTACTTTTTTACGACCCATTATTCCCGCAATTGCTTCAAATAATAAAATTTGCCTGTTAATTTAATTTTATGTTTGCAGCAGAAACAATTTTCCTTTTCTGATATATATTTTTTTTGATAATCAACGAAACAAAATTTTTTGTTGACATATTTTTCTGATAATTAACGAAAATAACTATACAAAACAATTCCCATTTGCTCATCGATCATCATATCATTTGTGGTTTTTTACAGTTTTGTACATAGTCAGAAACAAATTGTAAGATTCACTGTCATTTTCCCAACGAGAAACGTTTGCTTTTCGTTTGTGACAATTGTACCATATATATATATGTATGCAAACGTTTCAATTACGTGAAAATTATTTTTTTCTGTAAATTTTCATATCCAACTCAATTAAAAAACATTTTAATTTTTTTTATTCATTGCAGCCATTCGGTTTGTGTTTAGTTATTGCATATGTGTACCGCCTTGATGTGTACATACATACATATATTTTTCTCTGCACGATTCATTTCGTTTGTTGTTTCGTCTGTAACTACTAAACTACTGTAGTGTACTATCGCCAAAGTGAACTCAGCCGTTTTGTTTTCGTATTGTACCGAACTATTGAAGTAATAAACGAAACGAAATAGTAACGTACAATATAGTTTATTTTCGTACCCTGTTTTTTTTTGATAAACACATAGGCTGCGTTTCCCGAATTTTCGTAATTCGTAATTCGTAGCTACGTTACGAAAAACGCAAAATCGACATGCTGCAACCCTTGCGGAAATATGTGCAGCATTGCCAGGTATCAGTTGTTTTTCGAACTCAGCTGTATGAAGGAAAAGAAAGTGTAAAAATTAAAAACACTCATCATGTGCTTTTTTATAGTAAAATTGATTGATTGAGGAAAATTATGGATTCTGATGCATTTGCAGTTATAGCAGCGGAGTAAGAGCGCGCTATGGCAATGGACTTACAAAGGTATGTGGAGCTGCCGGACATAG